CCCTCCCCTCCCTTTTTTTTTTTTTTTTTTTTTTTGCAACAGGGAGGAACTGATCTGGGGCTGGGGTGCTGGCTGTTCGGGTGGGGTGTTAATGAACCTTAGCGGCGATATGCAAAAGGTTTTCTCTGCTTGCATTTGACTTGCAATGCCGGCTTCGCTCTGGGATGCAAACCCTTGCACAGGATGAAAACAGGTTTGCTGCGAATCCTCCTGTCTGCTTTCTTTTTCAGATGTCAGAAAGGAGCATAATAACCACACGGTGCCACCAGGCACCTCATTACGGCGCATCCTTCGCCGTTCTTTGGAGACGTTAAGAGAGATGAATCTTTTATGCAGCTGTCTCCTTGTATCCAGAGTGGGGCTTCACAATTTGCACTTGATTGCCGCTAAATATTCTTTTTAAGAGCCGTTTCCCAAAAAGATGTCAAATAAACACAGATGGGAGAAGGGGAAAAAAGCCGTAATGAAGCAGTGTGGTTGGGTTATCTCCCCCCCCCCCCCCACTAATGTGAGCATTTTATTTAAAAAAAAAAGTGAGTCTTCAGTCTCAGTGCAGTTGCAAGAAGCAGATGAGAGAGCTCAGTTTGTGGATCTTTGTTGGGGTGGGAAAAGCATTTCCATTAGTGTCAGTTGGCTTATTGACTTTCTTGAATGTGTGCACTTTGTAGACCCTTCTGCCAGCGTCTTTCCTGCTCCTCTTTACACTATGTCCTGTTTTTTTCAACACTTTATAGGTCATTCTTCTAGAATGCCCGAGGATAATTCCCCAAGACGGAGTCCTCAGAATATCCCTTATCAGGACCTTCCTCATATGGTCAATGCAGATGGACAATATCTTTTCTGCAGATATTGGAAACCAGCCGGGACTCCAAGGTGAGAACTTTCAAACAATGCATTTTTCCTCAATAACTAAGACTCTATTAATGTAACTTAATTATTATTTAGAGTTTATACATCATCACCAGTGTGCATGGTGCTTTAAAGAACAAGTAAAAAGGCATATCCCTGCCCTGAAGAGCATCCATTGTAAAGGTTAGATCCTCCAACTCCTTACTCACATGAGAAGGCCTTACTGCTTGCATGAATGAGGACTACTTACCTGAGTAATGTCTAAAAGATTTGCAACTACTTTCATTTCTTGCTCAGTTGAGCAGGGTGTCATCTCAGTAACCTTGTAAATATCAGACCTATGATGCCTGTCAGCAACAATAGATATTTTTAAACAGATATCACCAACTTTCAGAGATATGTGAAATACACAGGCTTACATTGGCCAGCCTTTGTCATTATTTTGTATGTTAATAAATCAAACACTAGCGGTCTGATTCAGCTATAAAAGCAGTGCTATAAATTCCAGTGCAATGACAGGTTTTTACACATTATATGTAATTTACCTCTGACTAAATTTAAAGTTGTAAAATTACTTGGATGGATCGTCCACTTTAAATTGGCTGTGTTTTCAAAGCTTGAACTCAGTGTTGGAATGTGGACAAATATGTGGACAAATAAATTTAAGTAATCCCTTATTTATTCATAATCCTTTACTGTAATGGGTTCTGAGTTAGATTATGTGCTTTTAAAAGCATGAATATGCTATTGTGGTAGAAACTTGCCTATGTATTTCTCTAGCTATTTATGATCTCAATGCTAGCTGCCCATCACAGTTACAAGATGCTGGCTTGACATGTATGAATGTTAGCATTAGCTATACAGACAGCCACATATGAAACTGCATCTGTTGTTCTGTTGTTTGTCTTTTCTGCAATCAAACAGGAATAAAGTCCTGTTTATTTTTACATTGCAGGGATAGAAATCATTGGTGGGAAATGGCAGCCTAAGCAACAGTGGGAAATTAAACTTTTCTGTCCCAGCTGTCATATTTCTGTTTCAAGATCAATCAGTGTGCCTTGCTGAGTAGTAAAAATGTGGATGAGAATACCTAGCCTTCTGTTTCAGTTCCTATAACCATTACCAAACCACAGGAGTGTTATGTGGATTACATAAATTCTTCTGAGGTGCCCATGTGGGATAACACAACAAGCTGTCCTGAAGTAACAGCCACGTTTTCCTGTGAGGTAAATTTTTGGGGTCTGATCCAAAGCTCATTACAGTCAATCCCATTTATGTCAACAGGTTTAGGATCAGGCTATGACATAACTATCTTGGCTTAATATCACCTGATCCAGGCAGCGACCCAGGCAGTTATTTCTAACCCCATCATGTCTTCCAAAAATCAGGAGGAAACTTTTTGGCTTTGGTTTGTATATAGTTCTGGCATCAGCCTAAAGATTTCCTCTACAGAACAAATTCAGTAGCAAAACAAGCTTCTTCTGTGAAACCAGCCTGTCATGTATTATAATGCTAATTAATCATTAACTGCCCACAGTGTTCTTCACTCAGTTGTGGAACTGCATTCTCTTTTCATGTTTAATTTCTTAGAAAATTAGTGGGGAGCAGATGAGCCTTTGATCAAGAAATGAAAGAATGATGAAGTGGAAGTGAAAACTTGGTGTTTTAATTCCTTACACTAGCTCATCTTTTCGGGGCTCTGTGCACCAAGTAGTTAATTGAGAGTGAGATTGCCCTAGTTTTGTGACAACAGACTAAACAGGATCAGTGCTGCTCATTACAAGAGACTCTTAAGTATATGTGTGTGTGTGAAGGGGGTATTTTTAGCTTTTGCTTACTGTGTGTGTGAGAGAGAGTGTAAATACAGTAACTGAGTAACAATTTAGTACCTGGATACAGTATTATTATCACAAATGCTCTCAGAAAGCTAGAGAGAGTGAGAGAGAGAGAGAAAATACATCTCTCCTTCTCCCTTCAGAAATATCCCAGAGTTTTCTCTTTTATATGTAGAAGCTCAGTCACTTTCATCCAACTTTAAACTTTCAATGAAAATGAGATCATGAAACCTCAGGGAAGGTTTACCAGCCTGTTATAGATGTATTCTGTTTCAAACACTGATGAGGATAACTGTTGCAATTATTTTAGTTACAATAAATGTAGTCTTATTTAACTGCTGACTTGCTTTGGGAACCTCGATATTAACATGTGCTGCTGTAGTATTCAAACAGAACCTTTCATTGATCAAATCCCAGCTAAGGGCTTTAGATAACTGCAGGTGTCCAAAGGTTAGCATTGACTTAGGTTCCACTGGTGGAGAATTTACTATTGTTGATCCCATCCCAGGGGAAAGAGACAGGAAATTTTCCAAAGATAAAATTTTTTTTAAAAATCCTTTGGCCTGGGGCCATACTCCAAATGATAGCTAAATGCCCCCTGAGACCAGGGCCAGGTGACAGCTACTGCCCCCTCCAAAGTGCCCATCTTTTACTCCTAGAAACAGGCATGTTAGAGGAAATAAGAGCTACAGTGGACTGAAGGCCTGCAATGTTTTAACAAATTATCAGGAAAATGAGACATGTATAGGATCTCCTGCTTAGAATTATATAAGGCCTGCAATGTTCCCTCAAATGTTTTCCATTTGCGTGCAAAATAAATTTTGTTTTGTGCACCAATGCAAGTGCAGATGTGCACCACCAACAGAAACATGCTTCCAGCTGTGGGCACTCTGCTAATCAGCTGGGCAGCATTTGACTCTCTCCTGGGTGGCTGTCCAAATGCACAGTTTACAGGAAACACTGAGGGTCTGGTCCTGTATGGGACTGAGCACCCTCTGTCCATACTGGTGCATAGAGAATCTTTATTGTTTTGTTGAGAAGAGAGATTTGGATAGTGACCTTATATGAACTTGCCAGGCAAAAGCACACTTATGTTACAGCAGTGAGGACGGGAATAGATAGAGGGAGCTAGGGAAGAGGAAGGTGGCAACATTTTCCTTTCATTTGTGTAGGGTGGGATATGATTTTGGGAAAGCTTTGGAGCGGTTACTTTGTCCTGTTCATCTCTCTGTGCAAACGCCAAGGCTGGTGCATTTGTGTAACACCTATAAGTTGTTCAACTTGTTGAACCTGTTTTATTATCAATGAAGCTGTTGAACTGCTTATGTAATGAAGAGGCCACATTAACACGTAAGAGAATGTGGAGGAAAGGGTGCAGACATGCTAGTGTAGTTAACAATACTGATTCATTCATCACAGTGGGACAATGGGCATATTTTATGTAGAATGACAATAGTTAAATCTTCGGCATCAGATGCTTACCAATATATGGACTGTGGCAGAGCAAGTTCAGGACAGTTTAGCAGCATTTGGAGTATCAGCTAGTCATTAATACCAGGACATCTACACTGTGTCTAGACTACATCCCTCTGTCCACAGAGGGATGTAAATGAGGCGCTTCAAAAGTGCAAATGAAGCAGGGATCTTTTTTCGAAAGATCCTGTAAAATCCTGTAAAGCCTGCCGTTTTCAAAAGAACCGCATCTAGACCGCGGTTTTACTTTTGAAATGGCGCTTTTGTGTAAGAGCGCCATGACGTGATTATGCAAATGAAGCACAGGATATTTAAATCCCCTCTTCACTTGCATTTTCGAAGCACCTAGACACAGCACTAGGTGCAGGACATCATGCATCTAAGAGAACCCTACCATAGTTACAAAGTAGTCCTTAGGTAAGAAAAACCCATAGCATGGCTAAGTCCCTGACTGACTGTGTAGAAATGAAAATGAGAGTTAAAAAAAACCCATGTTCTTCTGTTCCCAGCATTCACTGATACGTGCTGGCCTTCAGCAAGGCCCATAAACTTTCAAAAGCATCCAGAGGTTTTGGATGCCGTCATGTGTGTATGCACAAACTTGAGACAATGGGGGCTTTCGGAAGTGCTCAGTGCCTGTAATTCACACTGACTTCACATGGAATTTGGGCACTCAGCACATCTAAAAAAAAATCAGCTCCAGTGCTTGTCAGGTCAGGCCCCCAAACCCTGACACACCCTATAGTGAGAGGACATGTTTGAAAATGTTGATTTTGTACTTTAAACGGCTGAAAATGCACTGTTGTAGTGTTTCAGCACAGACACTTACTACAGCCATGAGTAAGTGCAGCTTAGATCGACATCTATCAGGGATGGTCTAGACTGTACTAGACCCATGGTCCCCACGCGATGCCTGCGGGTGCCATGGCGCCCGCCAGGCATTTATGTGCGCCCGCCTAGTGACCAGGGCCGGCCTGAGCCATTCTTGCGCTCCTGGCCCCGGGCACCTGGCGCATGCATGGCCCCCAGCCCAGGTGTGCGGCGCATGTGCAGTGCCACCCCCGGCAACCCCGCATGGCGCCCCTTGAAAAACTGTTGGTGCCCACCACACTCTTCTGAAAACAGGAATGTGCTATTGGCCACGAAAAGGTTGGGGACCACTGCTGTACAGAGTCCTGCCTTGAGGGCAGGGCACTGGACTTGACGACCTCTCGAGGTCACTTCCAGTTCTAGTGTTCTATGAATCTATGTTTCCCTGTCGCTGTAGGTAATCCTGCTCCCTAAGAGGCAGAAGCTAAGTTGACGGAAGAATTCTTCCATCTACTTAGTGTTGTCTACACCTAGGGTTTGGTCAACTTAATTATGGGACTCAGGAGTGTGCTTTTTTTACATCCTTGGAGCAGTGGTGTAGCCAGAAGGGCCTACTTGGGTGGGCTCCAACTTCAGGTGGATGAGCAAGAATGGTAGCAAGTGAGACAGGTAGGGTGGGGGAAAGCCTAATCAGCACAGAGTAAAGCAGAAGAATTTCTTCTCGTGTCTTGCTTACAACACTCCTGTTAATGCTTCCCAGAATGATTTTTTTTTTTTTTGGCAACAGTGTTACACTGTTGACTCATTTAACTAGTGGTCCACTATGACTCCTAGATCTCCTTCCACTCTCCCCCTTTCCTAGACAGTCACTTCCCATTTTGTAGATGTGAAACTGATTGTTCCTAC